TGACCACACGGTCAAGATCTGGGATGCTAGCAGTGGCGAGTGCCTCCAGACGCTCGAGGTCGGCAAGACACTCGATAACATATCATTCGATATCACCGGCTCGTATCTTCACACTGAAATTGGTACTATTGCGATTGATGCGTCATCAGCTCCAAATATAACACTGGATGTAATAGGCGCTCAAAATCCTCAATATCAGGGCGTGGGATTAAGTCCGGATGGAGCATGGATAACATATAATACAGAGAACCTAGTGTGGGTACCCCCAGAGTATCGGCCGTTCCGTTCGGCCGTGTCAGGGAAGATGATTGGCACCGGGACTCAATCTGGAAAGGTATTTATGTACCACGTGGGGCTTAATGAATCTTGTGAATAAAGAACGCTCTTGAAAGGTAACTAACTAATTCTTATATATATATATTTTATTATATCTCTATTTCATAGAGGGGTCCGGGGAAGAGCAAGTATATATATTCAGATAATTTGCCACCAAGCATGAAGAATCCTCCAGAGTAGTCGCAAGATGATTTGTAATAGAAATACCTCTAAGCTTACTGTTAAAGACTTGCCACGCTTATGTCTCACGAGAAGCAGACGGTCGCGCTAGCAGGGAGAACAAGACAACCCTATCTGGTTGCAGGGTTGTGAAGCGACAATTCTGTGCCGTAGATGTTCTTCGGGAGTTGAGTTGGCTGACGGGAGGAATAGCTAAATTGAATTGTAAGGTGGCCTGCTTGCTAAGACTGTGAATAGCCATAGACCTAACAACCACTATTTCGCTGCATGTAAACTAGATATGATGGTTATACTTGATGTGCGGTGTTGTTTTATACTAGCTGAATTGGGGATGGCGGTACTGCCAACCCTACATGAATTTGCGCACAGTAATATTCATAAGGCTGAAGATGACTTTCTAGCATGACAACAGTTTAAGGCTCTAAGGTTTAGACAAGGCCCCATTATAAATGCTAAGAGTTAGTAAGAGCCTAATAGTAGTATTATAGGAGTAGAATGCTCGTTTAACATAAAAGAAGGCTTGCTGGAGCGTAGGCATGATAGCGACTACGCGAACGTAATTTTTAAGGGTAAGCTGCACACGAGGTTTAGGATTAGCCCTAGTATACGGGTTATTCAGAATTATAGAAAATATTAGCGTGCGCACAGATTTAGGGATGCTTGAAATTAAGTACCTCTTATATTTTCCGGTACAGAGGAGTTTCCGCTACACAGGGGGGAGTGTTAAAAAAATGTAGCTAGCTATTAGGAGGGGAATGTTGTTTACGCGTTTCGCGGGCAAATCGCAGGACGAAGTCTTTCTGGAGGAAAATTCATTGAGCTCGTGTTACTGGAGTAATTCTTGGCGTGCATACCAGCCTAGCGAATCATAGATGAAAAGCAGACTAAAAGGAGAGTGAGAACCTAGAACTCCTAAAGAATGTACATAGAAGATAGCTACTAAAAAATATGATAAGTATTCATTAGGGAGCGAATGTCAATTGACCCGTCCGGCAGCCCCCATCCCCTTCCTTGTTTCTGAAAACAGTCGCCTGAGAGAGGTAAATGGGAATACGTCTCCAAATAGACAATAGGCTATCACGACATCATGAGAAAGCTTCTTAATCGCACTGTTAGTGTTAGAAAAGACTAAGTCCCCCTCTTCGTGATAGTAACGAATGTCGCACTCGCCGTTGTGACCACAACAACCGGCTTACTCGTCACAGTATTAGTGCCGAGATTGGGATCCTGTTCATTGCCACTGGCCGCGGGTTTCAACGTTGCCGTCGGAACTCGAGCCAAGGAAGTTAACACGAATGTAGGCTCTGTGCTAATCACTACGGAAGGTGCGCCGTTGAGGTCGTTAATAACGATGTTGATGGGTTGGTCGTGTGCCGAGTCTGGGTGCAGGATGTCTAGGAATCGGACGCCGACTAGGATGGAGGTGTACCAGAGGGTTGTAAGGAAGAAAATTAGGGCGAGAGTCCATGGGAGGAGGAGGCGGAGGGATGGGAGACGACGTTTGGCCTTCTGGGACCTGGATGGGGTTCGGGGAGGAAGTTGGGGGGAGGGAGGAGCGTAGTGAGGGTGGTTGGTGTCGAAGGGCTCTTCACAGGGGATGAAGGCGCCTTTTTCATTTTTGGTGGAAAATGTAGAAAATTTCGATGTCGAAGTTGGCGAGGGGTGGTATTTTGAATCATTGTTCAAAGAATTGAAGATCTGCTTTGGCGTGGTGGGGTAGTCCTTTTCAGAATGGAAGGTCGAGCAGTACGTAGGTGCCGGAGAGGGGGGCTCTGCTAGGGTTTGACGGTCGGTGATGTCCGCCGAAGACCTGTGGGCGTTCGATGGCTTCATGATGTTTTGAAAGGAAAGTGGCAGATGGGGAAATGTAGAAATGCCAAGAGAAATCTTGAAATGGATAGGCTCAAGAAGAGAAATATCATGGGGCCAGCCCACAAAAGGTCATAAGATTAGAGCAAAGCCTTGTGTAGCAGGTGAGGAAATAGACTTGAACAAAGGAAGAGAAAGAAGGGGAAGTCTTCAGAGGTGTATCGCTCTTGTTCATGATAAGACAATGCCACCTTAGGTCCACTTCTCAGCAACAAAGAAACAATCATTGCATGGACGTTTCAGATCGTGCATGCAGCAATCCATTGTCTCCTGCGATTCTTCAAAGAATTTCTGCATGCTGCACGTCTGTTGCTGAACGTCGTGATAAACTTGCGATAGGTAATCACGCTTGTCTGGGAAAGTCGTTGTGTACCAGGAACGATTGGTGCGCACGAGCCAAGGTGAAGGGGCTAAAGTCGGTTTCTGGACAGGGGTTAGCGTGGCCACGCATTTGTGGCCCTGTGTTGTCGTGAATGGATTCTGGCTGAGAAAGGGAGTGCAGCTCTCGTCCGCACCCGGCGTCCGTCGTGCGAATGGCCGCGTCGCCTGCATCACTGTGAGATTTTGGATAGGGGGGGGACAGAAGAGGTCTTTGGCCAATGAAGGATACCGGGCTGGCCCTTTTGTGGAGAGGCGAGTGATCGACGACATGGTATTAGATTCGCCTTCATTGCGCAAGGAGAAGATCCTGGGACCAGATATTCAGATTCCCATATAGTGCTCTTCCAAGGGATTGTTCCGCTTGTGCTGAAGAGTTTGCTTTCCAGACCTACCCCGCGAGGCGATAGAATAAGAAGAGGGATCCTTCTCCGTGGCACGGAAGCCCAAAGAAGAAAAAGCCGGCCCAGGGCATGAACCATAGTCTCTCCCCTTGGTGGAAGTTACACGGTTGTCGACATCAACTGTCGGATAGAAATAACCGGAGCGTACCCAGGGCCGTCGTCTTATCATTGAAGGGCAGGATGAATGGGTTAGGCGACACCGCCCTTATTTGTGTCTCCATTGCCTGCCCGAATCAATCGACCTTGACACGCGACTAGAAGAGCTACCAGAAAGAAGGGTGCGTGGTGATATATCGTGCTGAGGAAATAGGTGAATAACGCCGTCGCGTGACGAGCAGCGGCTCGTAATGTGGCCGGAGGTTCGATGGGGAAGCGGCCTGTCGCCTTACGCCTCATTTGCGGCAACCTTAGCCATTGTTTCAGATTGAGCATGAAACAATCCTTTTGCTGTGGAAGGTCACAGCAACGTGTGAGCAACATCGATTTGTCGGCCCGTCGAAAACCCGGGTTCGAAGTGCCGTCTACGTTGAGCTGGTGTACTGGAAGCTGGTGCACTAGCAGCACTGCACATAATTCTCGCAGCATCTTGCAAACCACTGGCGGCCTCGTGATTACTGGTGCGTGTCTATTTTTGCATTTGTTCGAGCGTTGTGGTGGCTCCCGTGGTGGCTTCTGCGCCGCTAGCTGCAGTTCCTGGCTTGGCCTCGACTCTAATTCACCAATTTGTCCCCTCCGCAACTCGCCATCCACCACAAACATTGACCGCTCTCCCATGACCCGGCACCCTTGACGAGCACATTCCCCTTTCCTCAACATCGCAGTAGCACTTTCCGATATTCATACAGCCTTGAAAGGTGCCCTCTTTCCATCCCCCGGAACCGCGTTCCCACCGCTCCCACCATATCCCCCCGTCCCTCCGCATACCCCTGCAATATGGATAACCAGCCGGCGAGCGGCAACAGCTCTGATCGAGAAGGGGTGAGTGTCCCCTTCTGCCATATCTGGGGCCCTGGTGAATCGCCGACCGCTGACTGGGACTCTGACGAGCAGGACACATTTGAAGATGCCACCGAAATGAACCCCCGCCCGACATCCCACTCCGACCGCTCGAGGTCAAGATCTCTGACCGCCCGACGCACCTCCTCGTCTTCCACCGCTCGAGAAGGCCGAACTGACTCTCCGCCGCCCGGCATACCGAACGGAGCGAATGTCGAAGGGGAACACCACAATGGACACACTGATGCTGCAGAAGGGCATGCACTAGCATCGCTGGAGAAATCCCCCCTGCTCACGGCGCATAGGATATCGGTGACTTCTGACATGGATGACGTGGCTTTGGACGAAGGTAATCTCTCCCGCTCCATTCACGGAGGCTGTCCGCGTTTGTGAGGATGCTCGTTTGAGGGTTCACTCCAACCGGGAATCACGCGACATTGTGACAGTCACAGCAGATGTCGTCAAATGCGCCCCATTGAAGCTTCGGAGGCTGTTATGATGTATACTTATTTCAAGAAGCTAATGTTGTACAGACGGGGTAAAAACCCCTGGCCTCCTTCCCAAGTTACCACCTCGAGATACAACCGAAGGCGGCCTTCAAGGCCTCTCCGGGAAGATGTCCCCCGTCAAATTTCCTCCTCCGCCACCTCCTCCAGCTGCCTCAGAGAAACACAATTCCCTACCCGCAGCAGCCCCGCCATCTAGGAAACTGGCCAGTCCGTTTTCGTGGCTGACCAGAAATACCTCAAGCAAGAAGCCCGAATCTCCTCCTCTGCCGTCTTCCGAGCGAAGAAACACAAATGCATCCATAGCTACGGTTGGAAGCAACCCAGAGCTCACACTGAGCAAGATCGAGCATGAGGGTGAACAGCCGCCGAACAATCGCTCAAGCCAGAGCAGCCTGCGTGAACGCTTCAAATTCCTTCGCATGAAGGAAGAAGCTGGCATATCTATGGGAGATGAGGCAGGTGAACCTGGCCACGCCGGAGCTCTTGCTGGTCTCCTTGGACGAACGACAAGTATCGGACTGGGTGTTGGTAGCCCGACAAGCGTGGCAGAGGAAAAAGATGAACATGGTGCAGGAGTCCTATCTGGCCCAACCAGCCCACGGCCTGGCTCTCTTGGAAAGCAACCCTCTATCAACCCTAAACTCGCTCCTGGAACGGCCTCAGGAATGGCAGCAGGACCTGCGGATTCAGCTGAACCAGTAGATTGGGATCTTTGGCAGTCCGTCGTCTACGAAGGGCCAGCTGCTGTTGCTCGTACCAGCGCAGAGGAACTCAATCGAGCCGTCGCAAGTGGTATTCCTCAAGTTATCCGTGGTGTCGTCTGGCAAGCTTTGGCGCAAAGCAAGAACGAGGATTTAGAAGTTATGTACAAAGAGTTGGTTGCCCGCGGAACTGATAAAGAGCACATAGCAATCCAAACTCCTCACGTATCCCGCGGGGAGACCAATGGCATAAATGGAAAAGAGAAGGGCTCAGTCGCTTCGTCATCGTCATCAGTTCACTCTGACTACTCGAGTCCTGCTACTACTGCTGGAAGTACGAATGCTGCCTTGGCGTCACCCTCACTTCCAACGGACAGTGCCGAAGACATTGCCAAAATGCAAGCTAAATTTGCAGCAGAGAAAAAACAAAAGACCAAGGACGAACATGCCGCTCTCCAAAAGCTGGAAAAGGCTATTAAGCGCGATCTAGGCACTCGTACGAGCTACTCGAAGTTTGTCATGGCCGCAGGACTCCAAGATGGGCTTTTCGGGATTTGTAAAGCTTACGCCTTGTTTGATGAGTCCGTTGGATATGCGCAGGGTATGAATTTCATTGCCATGCCTTTGTTATTCAATGTGAGTGTTCTCCAGCACAAAATACATCTTCTAACTAAGCTCACAACCTCTGCAGATGCCAGAAGAAGAAGCCTTCTGTTTGTTCGTGCGGCTGATGAATAAGTATGGGCTCCGAGACCTATTCATTCAGGATATGCCTGGGTTGCACCTACACCTCTACCAGTTTGAGCGTCTTCTAGAGGATTTTGAGCCTGCTCTGTACTGCCATCTTCATCGCCGCGAGGTCAAGCCGCAACTCTACGCAACGCAATGGTTCCTCACTCTCTTCGCCTACCGGTTCCCGTTGCAGCTCGTCCTTCGTATCTACGATCTGATCCTCAGTGAAGGTCTTGAGGGAGCAATCCTCAAGTTTGGTATCGTCTTAATGCAGAAGAATGCAGAAACACTACTGGGAATGAAGGATATGTCAACCCTCACCACCTTCTTGAAGGAGAGGCTTTTCGACGTATACATTGACAAAGCACCAACGGCATCTTCTATTCTTGAGAGTGGATTCTTTGGCTCTAGCGGCGGTGTGGATAAAGAGGTGTATCGGGCAGATATGCTTGTCAGGGATGCTGTTGCTGTAAAGGTTACTCCTGAGATGTTGAAGCAGTATACGGCTGAATGGAAAGAACAACAACGGATTGAGAAAGAACGGGAAACCGAGCTGCATAGTTTGAAGGACAAAGTGGGCTTTTTGGAAGGCAAAGTACGGCAGCTTGAACACCGTGCCGAGCAGTCCGACACTGAGCACGTACAAGTGGCCTCGGAGTTAGTCAAGACCAAGGTCGAGAACGAGAACATGGCCGATGAGAACGAAACACTCAAGACTAAGGTTGAGGAACTCCAGAAGATTGTTGAAACCCAGCCTGAAGAAGTCGAGGCTAGGTTGAAGAACCAGATGGAGGACGTTATGCAAAAGAACATTGTCGTTCACAACGAGAATAGGGCGCTAGAGGAGCAAATGCAGGAAATGGAAAAGGAGCTTGTCGCTACGAAAATGCAATGGGCAACGGTAAGTACAATCACATTCAACTCCATATAAAGTCTAAACTAACGACGGGCGCAGATCAATGAGGAATACGAGGCCTTGAAGCAGAAGTGGAACAACATCACTCAGATGATGAGTCGATAATCCGTTGCCCGGCCCAGCCCAACTGACCTTGCTATCCTCACATTTGCCCCATTGGATATTCATTGGCGTTTGGATCTTCGTCTCCAAAAGATATCACGGCCCGTAATGTCTATCAAACCAGCATCTATGTTCTTTGGCGTCGAGCGCCTCCTTCACTCTGATTTCGTTTTGTCTATATTCATGAAGACCGACCCTGTGCACTGGGATCGCGCTTTAATTTTCTCTCTATCCTCTCGGGGCTTGCTGTAGCGAAGGCGGCTACTCATAACTCGCATTTTCTCTGTATACCCATGGCTTTGCGGGGGTCTCGGTAAACGAGCCTCCACGGATGGTATTTCTTCATTTATTTTGCTATGCAATCAGGCTAAGTAATCGCTGCATTGGTGGCGGCTATGGTGGATGAGGGGCGTTGTTGGGATAGATTGGATGGGGCCCTATTGAAGTAGGGAAAGACGCCTAAGTAGCGTTTCAGTCTGTAGTGATTGTAGGGATAGAGGAATGCATAGAGCACAGTTTCTGTTCTTGCAGTTAGACTCCCCCAACTCGTCCTTGCATCGCGACGAAGTAAACCTCTGATGCGGCATTTGCCGAATGACAGTTTGCTTAGAGGCGATAGTAATCATATGTTATGTCATCCTGCTAGCCCCGGAGATGCCTAGGCAGCGATCTCTCTTACCTGCCGACCCCGGACAGGTGTCGTGGCCTGTTACACACCCTTACTCCCTCCGAGGTTGAGGAAATCGACAAAGAAGGAGAAGGTGGCTGGTGAGCTAAGCCCGAAATGGCCTTAGCGCCCTTTCGTCTGCATCTCCAAGAAAGAACCTTTGTCGACTCGATTTCTCTCTCCTCAACTACGTCCGGCCACCCACCTCTTCGCCCTCTACATCCTCTCACCAAATCGAGTCTACTGCAAAGGCTGCCCTCTATATCCCTCTATATTTCGATAGAGCGAAATCGCTTGCCGCGAACAGTCACCCTTTCCCAGGCGCATGCACTATGGCTGCACCCTCAGACATCACTGCTATTCTAGCAGCTTTAGGTACATATCCCGTTTCACCCCAAAGGTAAGAAGCATTCACTGATTATCCCAACAGCTGCGCGACCTTCCGCCACGCCGTCGCAGACCCCACAACAACCACCTCCCACTCAGCAGCCGCCGTCACAAGGTCTGCCTCCGGGGTTCCCACCAGGTGCTCTGCAAAATCCAAGTCATCCTGCTGGTATCCCCGGATTCAATCTTCCACACCCAACGAGCTCAGGCAGCCTTGATCTGAGCGCAATACGACCCACAAACTCAGGTTCCGTTAGTATTCAGGATGCGTTGGCGAAGGCGCGTGGTTTCGCTGCCGAGAAAGGGCTTGCCTATGACGCGGGTCGCTCAATGGGTATGCCTCCTGCTGCTTCCTATATCCCTCATTTATTTAACTGTGGTTTCCTAGGCCCGAGGGAAGATCCACGCCTGAGTGGCCGTCCGTACCGTCGCTCACGGTCGCGTTCTCCACCGCGGCGGGATAACATGCGTGATAGTTACAATCCATATCGAGACGAACGACGAGAGGATCCGCGTCGGGGCGGTGCTGGCTATGGTAGAGATCGTTCCCGCTCACCTCGCGGACGCAATACATTCTCTCCCCCACGGGGATATGGCACGCGTGATCGTTCCCCTCCTCCAAATGACAACTCAGAGGTTGTTCTTATTGATTCATCTTTGGTTGGTCTTGTGATCGGTCGCCAGGGTGAGAGTCTCCGCCGCATTGAACAAGAATCAGGTACTAGGATCCAATTCATCACTGGCCCTGACAACAGTGGTCCACAACGGCAATGCAGAATCACAGGCAGCCCTCATGCTCGAATTGCTGCCAAGCGCGAAATTAACAGAATCATTGAAGAGAACGGTGGAAACCCTGCGCGTGAGACTGGCCGTAGCGCGCGAGGAGGTGGTGCTAAGACTGGCGGTCAATCACCTGCTCTTCGTGATGGCGAGCAGACTCTCCAGATTATGGTGCCTGATCGTACCGTTGGTCTCATCATTGGCCGAGGTGGCGAGACTATTCGTGATCTCCAAGAGCGTAGTGGATGCCATGTCAACATTGTCGGTGAAAACAAGAGCGTGAACGGGCTCCGCCCTGTGAATCTCATCGGAAGTCCAGCAGCCTCTGCTAGAGCCAAAGAGCTTATCCTGGAGATAGTCGACAGTGATACCAAGGTCGGAGAGGGCCCATCAAATGCCAACAACCCCCCTAGCAACAATAGACGTGAGCCGTTCGATCCTTTCAGTGGTGGCGCAAACAAGATTAACGACACTATCTTGGTACCTTCGGATGCTGTGGGTATGATTATTGGCAAAGGTGGTGAAACTATTAAGGAAATGCAATCCACTACTGGATGCAAAATCAACGTCTCTCAGGCTTCCGGAGCTGATATTGAGCGAGAAATCGGCCTGGTCGGCACACGGCAAGCTATTGAGGATGCTAAGAAGGCTATTTGGGACAAGGTCGATTCAGTGGTAAGTGTCGCTCTATCACCCCGACCATTGCAATCTAACCTTATGCAGAGGGAAAAGAACGGTGGTGGCTATGGAGGCAATAAGCGTGGCGGTGCACGAGATAACGGAAGCTATAGTGACTACTCACACCAGCAACAGCCCTCATACGGACAGTCCCACAGTGCGGGACAGAATCCGCCACAGGCGCAGATAAATGCACCACCCCAGGGAGAAGCTGGCGCCGCTGACCCGTATGCCATCTACGGTGGCTACCAGAATTACTTGGCTATGTGGTATTCGTCCTTTGCGCAACAGCAAGCACAGCAACAAGCAGCAGGCGGCCAAGGTGAGCAGCAACGGCCTCCAGGTGCCTAAGAGCTGCTAGATGTGTCCGCAGTGACGTTCATGCACATGTTGCTGAGACCTTGTCGATGAATGTTCGCTTGCCTGACCCGATGCTCTGGATCTTCCCTCATGTGGCTTGACTCTTCTTCACCGACTGGACTGCTCTCGACTCTCCTCTGATTTGCGGCGGACATCCTGCATTCGCCTTTGACTTACACATGGATGACTCGTCTGTCTCTGACTGCATGCTTCATGCTTCATACCATTTCTCGAAATTGTTTGCCGATGACATGGCGCTTTGCATACTCGGATCGGTTCTTGACCATCTTCGTCCACTGCCTTTTTAGCTGGTTTGATTACCTTCTATCGCCGATATTATTGGCTCTTTGGGTATCGGTGACAGCTACCAGTAGTAGCCCGACCAAGTACGTGTCATCGAAAGAACGGTATACGGATTTCTGCGCGAATGTGTTCTTCCAACGGATTATTCAGAGGAGCATAATGCTCTTTTGGTCAGCCTGCCATGCCATTAATCACGAACGACACAATGAACCAGTCTGATTATGCTCGCGGAATATGAAAAAATAGTTACGGTGCTCCTTTGCTGGCTACTTTGCACTGGGTTTTCTCTGGGCAGAAGTGTGGGCGACAAAATGGTGGACGTTTGCGTCCATTACTTGACGGCAGGGCCCCTGCCTAACCTCTTTTTCCCCCTCATCTTTCTTTCGTCTCTTTAGTGTAACAATATGCCCGTCGTGGGATCAAATAGTTGCATCAACATCATCCCCTCCTCTGATATCTGTGCTTGTCTAGATACATACGTGCTTTCCCCACGTGACGCATCGGATCTTTCCTGTCGTGGAGTTCCTCCCGATCAGGCAGAGGTGGCCGTGTATTGACCATGACATAATAGTGCATTTGAGTCGCATTTCACCGGCTGGAAAATTCCAGACACCTGCACATGCACATCCGAACTAAGCAAAGCGCTTGCCGAGCGTTTGCCCCTCCACGTAAGATGTTAGCGCCACGGTCATCGCCGGCTTCCTGCGCCGAACAGGCCTGTGGCAGAACGGGAAGGGGACAAGCTGTGATAAGAGTCAATTTACATTGCTTTTATTCGTTCATCCGGTCAATCCCATCTTTTTTTTCTGCAGTTTGACCTGCGCTGATCTCTCGACCGTCGTTGGGCTAGTCCTGCCATAATATCAAGCTAACATTCCCCACATTCAATCTCTCACACCTAGCTTCTCAGATCTTATATACTTCTCTCCCTCTCAATCTAGACGTTTTAGGCTAGGTTTCCTATCGTCTTGTACGGTAACTTCTCAGAATGGCGCCTGGCATCGTAGAGCCAGCTGTGCCACAAGAATCTTCTCATTCCCTATCTTCCCTCACCGGAGCTTACGATGATACCCTTCGCTTCTATTTAAATGGGACCAAGGTAGTTTTAGATTCTGCTGACCCTGAAGTAACATTGTTGGAGTACCTTCGAGGCATTGGCCTCACGGGAACGAAGCTCGGATGTGCTGAGGGAGGGTGCGGGGCTTGTACAGTTGTAAGCGTGCTGCTGAAAGACAAACGTGGGAAACCCGAGAGCACTGACGGTAGCTTAGGTTATCTCACAGTTTAACCCTACTACGAAACAGATATACCATGCCTCGGTCAACGCTTGCCTCGCACCGCTGGTCAGTGTTGACGGCAAGCACGTAATCACAGTTGAGGGGATTGGAAACGTAAAGCGACCACATCCAGCCCAGGAGCGGATAGCCAAGGGCAATGGCAGTCAGTGTGGTTTCTGTACTCCAGGCATAGTCATGGTGCGAAAATCTAAACCTGTGTTGCTTCATTGCTGACGTTAGCTCCCTAGAGTCTGTATGCCCTCCTTCGGAACGATTCCGATCCGAGCCAACACGATGTGGAGGAAGCTTTCGACGGAAATCTGTGTCGATGTACTGGGTACAGGCCAATACTCGACGCGGCGCAAAGCTTCAGCATCGAGAGAGTATGTGGAAAGGCTAAAGCAAATGGGGGAAGCGGATGCTGCAAGGATGGAGTGGATAGTGGGGACGGAGATTCTCAACCGATCAAACGATTCACTCCTCCTGGTTTCATCGATTATAAGCCAGATACTGAGCTAATATTCCCACCTGCTCTGCGGAAACACGAGTTCAAGCCATTGGCCTTTGGGAATAAGCGCAAGAGATGGTATAGGCCGGTTACACTCCAGCAGCTTCTCGAGATCAAAAGCGTGTATCATTCTGCGAAGATTATAGGGGGAAGCACTGAGACGCAGATTGAGACTAAGTTTAAGGGAATGAACTACTCTGTATCAGTCTTCGTGGGCGATATTTCGGAACTCCGGCAGTTCTCTTTCCAAGACGGTTACCTAGAAATAGGTGGAAATGTGGTACTAACCGACTTGGAGACGATCTGCAAAGATGCTATAAAACACTACGGAGAAGTCCGTGGACAGCCCTTTGCCGCTATCTTGAAGCAGATTAGGTATTTTGCCGGACGACAGATCCGAAATGTCGGAACCCCTGCAGGAAACCTTTCTACAGCTTCGCCTATTTCCGATCTAAATCCCGTCTTCGTTGCTTCTAATGCCACCCTTATCGCCAAGTCTTTGGATGAGGCTACCGAGATTCCAATATCTGCCTTCTTCAAGGGCTACCGTACCACCGCCCTCCCTCCAGATGCAATCATCGCCAGTATACGGATACCAGCAGCGAAAGAGAAGGGAGAGTACATGCGCGCATACAAGCAGGCCAAGCGGAAAGATGACGATATCGCAATCGTTAATGCTGCGATGCGAGTGACAGTAGATGAATCTCAGGTAGTCGAAAGTGTCGACCTCGTTTATGGAGGCATGGGACCCATCACGATTGCTGCGAAGAATGCTATGGTATTCCTCCGGGGAAAGAAGATCTCGGAACTGAAGACTCTTGAAGGTGTCATGAGTGCTTTAGAAGAGGACTTTGACTTGAGATTTGGGGTTCCTGGTGGGATGGCTACCTACCGGAAGTCTCTCGCCCTTAGCTTCTTCTATAAGTTCTATCACGAAGTCCTTATTCAATTAAACACCGAAGAAGCTCAGGTCGATGCTCAGGCTATTGGGGAAATTAATAGAGATATTTCATTCGGGCTGAAAGACCACAAGGCCGCGGAAGCCTACACTCAGAAGATCTTAGGCTCTGAACGACCTCACGTTGCAGCTATGAAACAATGCACAGGAGAAGCGCAGTATACGGATGATATCCCGTTACAGAAGAATGAGCTCTATGGATGCCTCGTATTATCAACAAAAGCGCATGCCAAACTCATCAGCGTCAATCCTGAACCATCCCTTGATCTCTCAGGCGTGGTGACGTGGGTTGACCACCACGACTTGGCTTCCCCCGAAGCTAACTGGTGGGGAGCACCTTCCTGTGATGAGGTTTTCTTTGCTGTCGACGAAGTCTGTACTGCAGGTCAGCCAATTGGCATGATCCTTGCGGACACTGCGAAGCGAGCCGAAATGGCCGCTAGATCTGTTGAGATTGAGTATGAGGATCTTCCAGCAATCTTCACGATTGAAGAAGCCATTGAGAAGGAGAGCTATTTCAGCCACTTCCGGTATATAAAGAAGGGGGATGTTGAGAAGGCCTTTGCCGAAGCCGATCACGTCTTCACCGGTATTGCGCGCATGGGGGGTCAGGAGCACTTCTATCTCGAAACACAAGCATGCCTGGCGGTTCCGAAGCTGGAAGACGGAGAAATGGAGATCTTTAGCAGCACACAGAATCCTGCCGAAACTCAAGCCTACGTGTCTAAGGTCACTGGAGTACCCGCAAACAAGATTGTCTCTCGAGTCAAGCGGATGGGAGGCGGGTTTGGCGGGAAAGAGACCCGGTCAATTCAACTTGCTGGTATTGTCGCGACAGCAGCGAAGAAGGTCCGACGGCCTGTACGGTGCATGTTGAACAGAGATGAAGACATTATGACTTCTGGTCAACGCCACCCATTCCTCGCAAGATGGAAAGTTGCTGTAAACAAGGACGGCAAGCTCCAGGCTCTTGATGCAGACGTCTTCTGCAATGGCGGGTGGAGTCAGGATCTCAGTGGAGCCGTGGTTGAGCGAGCAATAACGCATATTGATGGCGTGTATTCTATTCCCGCCATCCATGTGCGCGGGAGAGTAGCCAAGACTAATACCGTCTCTAACACAGCTTTCAGAGGCTTTGGTGGCCCTCAAGGAATGTTCATTGCGGAAACTTACATGTCAGAGATAGCGGACCATCTCAAGATACCTGTTGAGAAACTCCGTGAAATCAACATGTATACTCCCGAGACCAATATGATTACCCACTTCAACCAAGAGCTTAAAGATTGGTACGTTCCGTTGATGTGGAAGCAAGTCCAAGAAGAATCAAATTATGCCCAACGACGACAAGATATCGAAGAATTCAATAAAACACACAAATGGAACAAGAGAGGCTTGGCAATCATCCCCACGAAGTTCGGCATCTCCTTCACAGCGCTCTTCCTCAACCAAGCCGGCGCCCTAGTCCACATCTACCACGACGGCTCCGTCCTCGTGGCACACGGCGGCACGGAAATGGGCCAAGGGCTGCATACCAAGATGACTATGATTGCTGCTGAAGCACTCCAAGTCTCTCAAGACAACGTCCACATTTCCGACACCGCAACCAACACGGTCGCAAATTCATCGTCAACGGCAGCATCCGCATCCTCCGACCTAAATGGATACGCCATCTGGAATGCATGCCAGCAACTCAACGAGCGACTCCAACCTTATCGTGAGAAGCTCGGCCCAAATGCTACAATGAAAGACATTGCACACGCCGCCTACTTCGACCGCGTCAATCTCTCAGCGCAAGGCTTCTACCGCACTCCCAACATTGGGTACATCTGGGGCGAAAATACAGGGCAAATGTTCTTCTACTTCACGCAAGGCGTCGCCGCCGCCGAAGTTGAAATCGACACCTTAACTGGGGATTGGACTTGTAGACGGGCCGACATCAAAATGGACGTTGGTCGGTCCATCAACCCAGCCATCGACTACGGACAAATCGAAGGCGCGTTTGTGCAAGGGCAGGGCCTGTTTACGACAGAGGAGATGTTGTGGCATAGAGCTAGTGGACAGATTTTCACAAGAGGACCTGGCGCGTATAAGATCCCCGGGTTTAGGGATATTCCGCAAGAGTTTAATGTGACATTGTTGAAGGATGTGGAGTGGGAGAATTTGAGGACGATTCAGAGGAGTCGTGGTGTTGGTAAGAAAGCGTTCCCCTTTTGGCCTCTCTTTTAATCCTACTGCGAATCTTTCTGCTATACGATGGTGCTAATAGACCTTGAACAGGCGAACCCCCCCTCTTCATGGGATCCTCCGTCTTCTTCGCCATCCGTGATGCGCTTAAAGCTGCACGCGCAGAGTTCGGCGAATATGAAATTCTGCATTTGCAGAGTCCGGCAACGCCAGAGAGGATTAGGGTTAGTTGTGCGGATCCGATTCTCAAGCGCGCGTGGGTAGAGCCGAGGGAGGGGGAAAAGAGTTTTTTTGTAGCGATATAGATTGAGACTGCAGGGAGGTGCTTTTAAGTCTAAGGGATATCAAGACTGAGTGATAAGATGATGTATGGTTGCGGAAGCACACACTATCGTTTCGATATAATGGTGGATTTATTTCCGCCACTTATTGATGGAATTATCATTGTTTTCATTTGCTCATCGCCTCCCTGGAGCATTTTGAATAAAGAGCAGATGCCGAAACAAATAAGGGATTCTTCTTAACCAGGAGGATTTCCCCAACCTAGCTTTCTTCGTAAACGAAGATGTGATAAGGTCCATGAGATCTACAGAAAAGTGCGAATGCTGTGTATCCTGTATCCGGATGTTAGATGAAATGAGGTTGAGGCGTGACGCGGAATAGAGAAGGGGGGACCATACCGTGCTTTCAGTGACATCTAAATCTCCAAAGGGTTTCGTGAAGGTCTTTCATGGCGCCAGATATGGTATCTCGCTTAGAATCGGCCAATGCCGAACGCTGTTCCAGGTTGCTCCAGAAGGTATCGTTCTGCCCGTCCCTGATCCTGGGTCGCTCATTGCGGATGCTCCGGGATACCACATGGTGAGAGGTTCCTTAGAATTCGGAGCGGTTGAAGGGTTAGACACGTATTCACCTGCTCCCTAACAGTCTTCGACTTGCGTGCGCTGGCAAAGGAATGGTCATGGTCGTCATAAAATATCAATGCGACCAAGGAAAGAGAAGAAGTAGAACATAGGACAGAGATATGATCGCCACTAGAAAAATAAGAAGAGCGTAATCGGGAAATTATATACATATACATATATAATTCTTTTTCGGCGATAGATGGCGTGGAAACCGCCATTATCATTTACCAGGTAGTCGACTGCAGGTTGAAATTATATGACAGGAGTAAATAAAAGACGAGCTTAAGAGTTTTAGCGAGAGAATCTGATCACACTACCTGCCTTTATAATATCGATTTCCAGAGTACTTGTACAATAAGTGCAGTTAGTTTCTGCTGGGGATCAGGCTAGGTCGCCCCTTATGCCAGTCACCTCATTCGGGATCCAGGAAGCTAAGATGCTTTACGCAATTGAGCCAGCGTAGCCTTCCCTGCCCTACTCTCATTTGTCCTTCCAAGCTCCTGTGATATCCACTCTCCAACCTCTGACAGTTTCTCAATGTTGACCCCTGTCTTTGCACCCAAGCTATGAAAGAGGTGAACCAAATCTTCGGTAGCAACATTCCCCGTAGCTCCCGGACTAAACGGGCAGCCTCCTAATCCACCAACAGCAGCATCAAAAGTTCGGATGCCATGCTCAAGCCCAACAACTGAGTTTACCAGAGCCTGGCCGTAGGTGTCGTGGAAGTGGAGCGCTATATCACTCTTCTCCACACCGGCTGCGCTCAACGTCTTCAGTAGCTCTGCTGTTTTGGGTGCCGTGCCCATACCGGTGGTGTCGGCTACCGATATTTCGTCCGCACCCATCTCGAGCAAGCTAACGGCCAGTTCCGCCACTTTATGAGGGTCTACATTCGGTCCCTCGTATGGACATCCTAGAGCTACGGAAATGTATGCTCGTACATTTAGATCTAGCTCCTTTGCTCGCGACATTATTGGCTCGAATCGCTTCAGGGATTCTGCTATTGAGCAATTTGTGTTCTTCTGCGTGAATGTCTCCGTGGCTGCGGTAAATATTGACAGCTCGATTTCGGGGGCGGTTTCCGAGCTTGTAGAGCCTCGATCCTTGCCCGTCGCATCAGCACCGGAAGGGGCTGAAGGCGTGGGATTGGAGCCTTGAAAGGAGGTATTGAGAGTGGGTTCCTGGCTATTACTAGGAGATGGGGGCGGCGTGGGATATGTGTCTCGTTTCGCCGAACTCTGCGATTGCCAGACAGACAGAAAATTATCCAAGCCTTTGGCATTCGGGAGGAGGAATTGGTATGTTATGGGATGGGGTGCTCGAGGAGGCGTTCGTAGGACATGCTCTAGGATCTCTGAGGAGTTTGCCATCTGTCGTCTGCCGTCAGCAACATTCCCAAAGCTTCTAGGGTCATCGAGTGATCTAACCTGAGGAACCCACTTCGGAGAGACGAATGATCCTGCCTCTATTGTCTTCAGCCCGGTTTGCGCCAATCTCTCCACAAGCTCTATCTTCGTTGCCACCGGTATGGTCTGTTTCTCGTTCTGGAGCCCGTCCCTAGGGCCAACCTCCACTATACGAACATAGTCGGCGCGGTTGGTTGACGCGGTGGCGAACGTTCTTCGACACGGGTAGCGCGCAGCCAGTCGTGCTGAACGAAGACATCTGAGTTTGGACGACATTATGGAGGAGGGGTGAGTGCAATGGATGGAAGAGAGTTATGGCGAAGTGTGTTTTAAAGACGGGAAGCTCACGCTACGTGGGGGTTTTGCGGGGAAGCTTTTTACCTCCGAGCCGGAGCACGGATCGCTCACTGACCCGTGACCAAATCATTCACCCATCCTCATTATCGTATTGCTACTCTCTATTCACACCTCTAATGAACCCTTGGCCTTATTCCCCTTTCTCAAGCCTTCCCATAAACAAATCCCACCCGATCAATCTCATCTCCATCCCTCCCCACAAACCCAACAATCCCCCATCCATCCTCCACAGTCCGCACGACACATTCACTCGTCATCTTGCCTGCCGTCACGATCCTCCCCAGACTGCTGATAACCTGCATGTAAAAGATTCTTGTTGTATCATTATACTTCCCCTGACAAACTGTCGCCTGCACTAGTTTCTCCCCGCCATCTAGATTGAGCGTGTTCGCAGTCCCTCCTGTGCCACCGTGCGAGAGAGCCTGCCCGGACGAGAGAGTAATGGAGAGAGCATCGAGTCTATTTGCGCCGCGGAGAGTGATCGAAGCTACGGAGGGCGAGGAGATGGTAGAAAGGGCGGTAATGTCGTTGAAGTAGTCTCCATGAGGACCGCCGAAGAAATCCGACATGCGAAGAGTACTACTCGTCTTCCAGGAAACGTCCACAAGCACAGGATTGTGATCGCTTAGAACGTTTCCGTCACTTTGCAGAAACATGGATCCTGCATACTGAAACTTGGTCGCGTTCAATTGCAAGGCTGGACCACCTCTATACCAAACTTTGTCCACGATCTCGCAGGCGGTAGTGTTTGAAGGGTTGTCGCAAAGAAGAGCACCGGAGCCAGCAGCTGGGGCGGAGCCGGACCGTGCAAGTTGGACCCAGGCGTCTGTCATCCCGTTTTGAGAACTGAAAATAGAGGGGATGTCACCAGAGCGGGTGTAGCGTGAGTTGGAGTCACCGAAGACGAGGACTGCATTCCCGGTTGAGTACTGAGAGATGTGGGTCGACACTTGTGCAAGATTAGAGGCGCGAGCTGTAATATCATTGGGCTCGGTGCTGAATGGTATTAGCTTGCGACCGAGTGGATTGTTAGGTGCGACCGAGTCAGATTTGGGGGCTGGGAACTAGTAATGGTTGAATGAAGAGAGAGCAAGAGTCCAAACAGGCGTGGTGATCCATATCTGAAAGGTTGAAGACACAGAAGGGAAACACGCTGAAGCATTCAAGTGCTGGGAAGGATGGCTTTCGAGCCTTTGAGCTTTTGGATGGAGTAGGTAAACGACGACAGGAGAATATATGAAACAAAAAATGCACTCACCCAGCATCCGCATGCAAATTGTACGCATCGACCCAGACTCCCTCACTAACTCTTACCCTCATAAATGTGAATCCCTTCGGTGTCAAGCAATCGCTGCCACTCGTATCGCTGCACGTCGCCCACTTGGTCCTCTCAAAATCAATCCAGTCAAAGTTACTCAGCGTGTTCAGTCCATCCCCAAACGGCACACCCCCACTTGTTGCCGTCCGATATGGATGATTATCGTTGGCGTAGAGTGTGGCGTGGTAATTGAAGTCCTCTTGCACGTGGATAATGGAGAAGTTGTATGTGGAGAACTTTTGCCCGATCGTTTCCGTGTTGGTCGTTTTATCGCCGGGGACGTCGTTGCTGTTCAGAATGGCGGGGAGTCCAGCGACATTGAAGGAGAGGATGTTGAAGGTCCCGGATGTTGCGGGGGCAGCGAGGGTGGATCGAAGGAAAGATAAGAGAATGAATAATAGAGAAAGCATGATGGATTAGATTTTATGAACTCACTGCAGTGTGTGGAACACCTTGGGTGCATTGTATTGGGCGCATCGTACCTATATACCTCTTTGATCTGCATGGTATCCTGCTACACGATTAGCGGCGATGACGATAGTCCTCTTAGGAACATCTTGATCTGGATATCACGGCTAGGCTAGATGTCGGCTGACAGGCTTAATAAGGGCAATTGTATAGATCGCGCCGGGGAATTAGCCAATGCCAACCACGTTCTCTTTACAAAGCTTGTTGTAGGTACTTGGCAGCTTCGAAAGAATGCAGAGTAGTCGAAGATTTCTGGACTTTGGGTATGAAAGGGGCCAATTGCTGAAGGGTATATTGACATGTGAGTAACATGGATTCTCGGAGACTTGATTGCTGCATAAATTGATTGCGGAGATGTTTACTTTATCGACGAGGTGTGCCGTGATGTTCCCGGCTCGTGGTTGTGCTTCGGGCTAGCGTTCCCGAAGCGTGCTGGCCAATCAGTGGCGTTCACTCCAACATGCTAACACTAACACACTTGAACATTTGTTCAGATATCCCAAGAATTCCAGTATTTGATGGGGTACATTTCATAAGAGTACAGGCATTCTGGGACTTTCTCCCATGGTATAGAGTGACCTGTATTCTAAAGTTTGAGGAAAGGGCAAGGGATTTTGGACGGAATCGGAAGGTTGACACACACTGAAGTACATCACCAAGTATCTGATAGCATATGCAGGAAGAAATCTATATTACTTCCTTCCTAAACTTAAGCAATGAAGCTAAGAAGCTAATTACCCCAGATTATGAACCTGTTAGATAGGGTGGGCTTCCGTAATAATTGGGCTGGGGCGGAGCATCAGTTTCCAGGATAGACTACAAAGGATTCACTTTTGGTTCAGTCAGTGAGTGATAGTTGTCGTAAAGGATGGGTCGACGGACATATGGCAAGTGTCTTAGTAGCGCAGACATAGAGGTTTGATAGTCTATCAGAAAAGCCAGCGGGGTCTACGCTTTTTCAAGTAGTACTTTATTCTGCGAGGTATTTTTGGCAGGCTTCGGGTACTTTTAGTGAGCAGTACAGACTGCCTCCAGGGCCACCAAATACGCAGCTCACTGTCTCCCAGACTACCACTCCGATTCCCAAAGCTACTGTTTGCTTTTCCTCTATTCGAAATCTAGACAGTGCGCATCGCCACCGGATATACGATGACCTGATAAGTGGAGGTATGCTATGTCGCACAGGGTGATTCGTGAATATGGTTTAGACTATTTAATGACATAGTGGAGTTCTCGAAACCTAGGAAGTCGCTAAAAAGGGTGCCAAAATCCTAGAGAAAGAGAGGCAACTTTGCTTTGAGCTGTCGAATGTATGAATTATAGATGATAGAAGTCATGAAAAAGGAGTTGAAATCGCAATTCCAAGAATATTGGGCCCGTAAGGGATTGGAGGTCTGTAAGAGGGGACTAATTCGTACGAAAATTACAGAAACCCAGGCCGAGTGTTTGGAGGAGGCTTTGATGTTTTGGCAATGGTAGCTAGAGCGATATGCAGGATGACAAGCAGATCGTGAACGGCTCGTTGGAAATGATCAAGAAGTGGGCGAGACACCGGAGGCATTGAAGTGGAAAGCGGATACTGTCTCAGATGCCAACAAGATAAATAGGACAGCGGCTCCGACTCCACAGAGCCGTAATGACTCGGTAGTATCTCGCTTGAATGTCAAGGCGTAAACGACGGATGATAAGGGTTATTCTGGTCTGGAGCGAGTAATTTGATAAGTTGTCTTGAAGCCTTCGGGCACTGGTAGGCTTGTGGTGATGCTGTCGCGGACTCTGCTTGTCCTGAGAGATCTCAAAACTTTCTCGCCTTCCGACCATGAGCATCAATAGTATATCTACGGCGACATTTGTATGGCTGATTTAGCGGCTTAGCGAGATTTTCGCTGGCAGGGGGGGCCGTGCGCTCATCAACTTCCAGTATCCACCCATGTCCATTGCCCACCCTCCATGGGCGATATCTACGCTGCCACATGTGCAAATAGCCTGATTTTTGGTCTTATAATAGCTGCCAGGCTGCTCTAGCTTTAAAGCGCTGCAGAGCTGCATTATAATTGCTATTACGTTGCTAGGAACGCACTGTATGGCTGCTAGGTACCTCTTTATAAATGTTACAGTGTGACAGAAGTATACTGTGCTTGCACAGTATTCTAATAATGCAGCAAATTGCAGAACAATGTATTAAATTACAATAAAAAGTAGTAAATTACAAAAAAACATAGTAAATTGCAGAATAATGTAGTAAATTACAACAAAACGTAGTAAATTGCAGAATAATGCAGTAAATTGTAACAAAACGCAGCATATTACAGAATAATGCAGCAAATTGCAATAAGACGTAGTAAATTACAAAATAATATAGTAAATTACAACAAAACATAGTAAATTATAAAATAATGTAGTAAATTATAATAAGACACAGTATATTATAGAATAATGTAGTAAATTACAACAAGACGCAGTAAATTATAAAATAATATAAAATAAAATCTTTACTTAGCAGCTATAACTATTTAAACACTAATTAATTAACTTTTATAATAATAACTATATATAATACTAAGACTATAAAACTAGAGGTAATTGCTCTTCTTCTAAGCAACTCTAAGATGCTTACAGAGCTAGTCTAGCAAGACCTTTTACTACTGCTGCTGCTAGCTTACCTACTATATAGCTACCTTTTTACTAGTTTTTTATGCTTATGTAATGCACTTAATCTTTTTAATAACTTTAAGCTATAAAAAGTACTACTATAGCTTACTTTAATAACCTAACTTTTACTTATTCCTCTAGCGCCTGTCTAGCTTAGTAATAAAAGGCTAGCCTTATAGGCCTACTATTTATTTGCACTAGAGATTCTCTATAGTTCTTACAGCGCAGCATATGTAATGCTTTAGTGTAGGTTCTAGCTTAGGCGCTAGCTTAAGCGCTGCTAGTAGTAGTAATAAGCTAGGCAAGCGCGCAGACAGTGTAGGCGTAAGGCTAGCCTAGGCAGAGGTATACCTGCTTAAATCTACGTCTGCTAGCAATAGCAGCGCAGCTGCTGTGTGCCTAAGTGGAGGTAGTAGCAGCAGCAGACCGCCCTGCGCCTATAATGCCTCTAGGCAGAACATAAGGCTGCTAGACATAAGCACTTATAGCTACTAAAACTATAATCTTTATAGCTTATATATATAATTAAGCTTTTTTTTAAGCTTTTTTTTAAACTTTTTTATTTACTACTTATTTTAAGCATTTAGCGCTTAAAGCTAGTTAGTAAGTAAAAGTATTACTTAGTATAAAACTAATAGCTAACTAGAAGCTGCCTCTATATTAAAAGACATGTTAATGTTCTAAGTAAAGGCAGCATACGCCCTATGCTAGAACACTAGGTGGCTTTACACAGAGTAGCTAGAGAAGCGCTAGCGTAGTGTAACTAAGTTTTAGAAAATTACCTTTTTAAAGTAAAGTAGTAAGCTTATAAAGCCTTTTATAGCTAAGTTATTAATTTAGCTAGCGTGTAAGCTAAAGCAGCTCTTTTATGCATTAAGCTTTAGCTAGATAAGAGATAAGAGCTTATCTAAAAGTATAATAGCTATATAAGAAATCTTAAAGCAGCCTATTTATAGTAGATAGCTAGCTATAGACCTTATAAACTTTTATAGTAGTAAGTTAAAATAGTAGCTAACTATTTACTTTTAATTTTACTTACTTACTTACTAAATTTAATTTTTATTAACTTTTTTAAGCTTTACTAGCTTAGCTACTTTACTATATAAAAAGTAAGTTTTTTTTTAAGATAAAATTTTAGTGTAACTATACACTTTTATAACTTAGTTACGCTAGGAGTTATAAAAGAAAGCTGCTATATAATTACCTATGCTAGCCTTAATTAGCTATATGTAGTACTAGGCTAAGCGCTTACTAAAGTTAGAAAAGAGCTTGTTGCCTAGGTTCTAGCAATAAAGCAGGTAAAAGGCTAGGCTACTAAGTATATAAAAGATTAGCTTTTTATGCTATAGCGCGCCTATTATTTTAAGCTAGCTATGCTAGTTCTACTTACTTACATAAGTAGTAAATATTAAAAGTATATAGTATATAAAGCTTTTTTTTTTAAACTTAAAAGTAAATAAGTTTAAGATTTTTATAAAATAGTAGTTACTTTTACACATAAGCATATAGTAGCCTAGCATAAGATTAACTAGTGTACAGAAGTAACACTCTACTATTACTAAAGACAAGCTTACATCTACACTATATATTTATAGCTTACTATAAAGCTACTTAAACTTATTCTTAGTATAGCTATTAAGTAGTGTGTTTTTACTTTTATTAGCATACTGCTCTTAATCTTGCTAGGCATCTCTACGCTGTAGAGACCTAAGGTACTCCCTTACACTATTTACACACAGTAATAGGTAGCTGTTTATGCCTAGCGCCTTCTACTTTTACTAAAAGTTAGTAATAGCTATAATATAAACATAAACTAAGTGCTAAGTAAAATATATTTTATTTTAAAAAATATTACTTTTTACTTTATAAAACTTAGTTTTTAAAAGCTAGTTTATAACTTTTTTAACTAAAAAAAGTAGTAGCTTTTTTTTTATAATAGTGCTACTATTATAGTACTACTTTCTTTTATAGAACGCCTAAACGCAGGAGTTAGCACAGACATAGACATATAAATAGGCAGGTAAGTAGGTAAGAATACTACTTTAAATTTCTTTTACTTTAAAATATAAACCTAGTGCATATTCTTTAGCTACTGCTTATAAATTATAGCTAAAATATAGTGCATATTAGTGTGCAGCTTAGTGTTGTTTATAATGTTAACATTTATACACTTATAATACACTTTATACTATAGACTTATGCTTACTTACCTTACTTTACTTTTACCCCTAAGTAAGTGTGTATA